TTTTACTAACCCTTATATCTCGTTTGTTCCTTGTGCAGGTATAGAGGTTGATGATTCGAGGACGAATCCTCTTAAAGAAGGAGGGGATAATGAGAATCATGTAGCCTTCCATGGAGGTTCTCCTAGTGAGGGGAATGAGCTAGTCCTTCATTCTAGATTTGGAATGCCAAGTTTACTTTGCAGGCCAATCAAGGAAGAAAGGATGGATCTTGACTACCTATGTGATAGGGAGTTGGTTCAAGAGAGCTATGATCAAGGTGATGAGAATGTCATTAACTTTGGGGTTCAAACCAAAGGAGATGAAAACCTCATGGAAATAAGTGCTGAAGAGTATCAAGAGAGTTTGACTCTGTGTGCTCCATGAAGATCATTGATCAAGCTAGTGAGAAGAGTCATTTAGGTTCTTGAGTGGACGGCCTATTTGATCAAAGTGTTCAAGATTGAGTCCATTGCTACACAAATGGATAGGTTGCAAACTATCTTAATTGTTTCAAGTGTTTTTCCAATCTTTTGGAGTCAATAAAGAGAATTCTACAAGTTCTGGAGTAAATTGGAGTTTTCTACAACGTAAGGGGCGCAAGACCAATATTCCACTTTTGGAAGGGCGTTCAAGACATTTTACTTCAACAATTTGGAGCTGAATTTCGAGATTAGAGTTAGTCTAAGTCTAGGAGTCAATTTTCGAATTTTTATCTAGTTAATTAAGTCATGTGGACTAAATTAAACTAGAGTGTTTTGATTAGGAGTCTTAGATTCCTTCTAGATATTATCTTACTTGAGGATAAGTCATTTAGATAAGGTTTCCTAGATTTTAGATAGAGTCAAAGAGATCAAGTACTCTTCTACTTTTACTCCTTGAGAGATAAGATTAGAGAGTCCTAATTGGTCTTCTTTTTAGTGGTGCTGCCGAAAATTCTAAGCCTACAAATAGGAGGCTTGGCCGAATTTCTTAAGCACCCTTGAGTGGTCATTTTTGTTGTCTCTTTTGAGAGTTTTTCCTGTGAGGAATTTTTGTTAAATGGAGTGTCCATTTTTCGTGTCAAGTATGATTAAACCAAGAGGGTTTTCATCTTGTCTTGGATCTTTTTGATCTTGCAGAAACCGTTCTTTTTCAATTATGCTTCTTGATAGAATTGTTTTAAAACAAAACTTCTTATTTTCATACTACTTCTAGTACTTCGATTGATGAGCCTTTCCTTTGGCTTGGTGTTCGAATTTCATGATGAGTGTGTTCATGAGATCTATTGAGGGGTTTGTCCTACTTTTGTTGGATGAGTTGTGCTTTGGCATAAGCATTTTGAGATAGTGTATGTGTTGCATATCTTTGGTTGGTTATGAAGATTACTAATCAATAGTATTCCTTCATAGTTGGGCATTGTTTGCTCCTACCTTTCTTGAGTCTCTTGATAGATGACTGATCGAGTATATTGAATGGAGTCCTTGCTATTCTTAGCGTGGGTTGTTGTTTAATTAGAATCTTTCATGGATAATGTGTTCTTTGCTGGGTTTGAGTTAAGAGATAGAATCACTTAGATAAACGATCGTCTTACTATGAATTTTCCACACTCTTTTGAGTTTCACGGGATAGACAAAATTATCTTCGTACCTTCTTGTTGATGGTTGCATTAATGAAATTTGCTTCGTCTACGAGATTGCTATCACTAAACCTTCAACTTATTAAAAGCTCCTAGGTTAGAGATCCGAACTCGACCAAAAGCCTATAAGCCACGACCAGAATTTAAAAGTCTATAAGGCTCTGGTTCGCTAAAACTTCCATAACTTTGTTTAATTATCAAAAGGACTAACATTATCAAATCCATCATCTGTATGTGATGAGTGTTACATTGGGATTTGGAAAATATAGTATATTACTATAATTCCAGGTTTTGACCTCCCTTAATACAACAAGTACTTCTCTAAAAGGAAACTTTTTAATAATGTAGTAACCTCCGGAAGGTTTCAAAACTCTCTCCCTTGGACAAAATTCAGTTAATGCTATTTAGTTTGATGTCCATACAAGTACTTGAATAAACATCAAATTAGGGGGGAATAATACCCATGGTATGACAATATAACATTTATTTTGTCATGAATTTCTCTTTCTTTAGTTCGGATAAATATAAACTCCTATTACTAAAGAACTTATGTTTTCAAGTTCATCCTTCGCTCTTAATATAAGCGGACGATGAATCATTTACAAGGTAGCCTTATCATTTGTTACTTAAAACCCTCTCGATAGATTCAACACGAACAAGTCGGAGGGTATAGGTGCATTATCACTTGACTTCTGCGGAAGTTAAGCACCGATACGTGGGATTTTCATCTCTTCTCTACCTTTCGGAGCAAACCATTGTGACAAGTCCATCATGAACAAGTCAAATGGCTAAACACACTAAAGTCTTTCTCCTTTGATAGTCGAAATCAACTTACAGGGCTTAGGTATCCTATCCGTCCGAATGTGACAAGTTCATCATGGACAGGTCAAATGGTCATACAAACCTTAGTTTAACCTCCGTGGCATTAGATGCCACTCTTCCGAACTAAGGTGCTCTAGCACTTCAACCTCGAGGCTTAGAAATTTGGGAAATCCATATACTTAGAAAAGATCAATCTTCACAATAATTATGATAAGCCATTTGGGTTCGTGGTTAAGTATAAAATGCTATTAAAGGAAAAAACGTTCAAAACAATTGCTTAACAAAGTACAATAAAGAAAGTACTTGAAGGTCAACTCTTTCTCTAGTATTTAGCCCAGAAGTAGAATCTGGTAAATGCTCATACTTTCGGACTGCAGGGCTAGTTAAATGACCTTATAGAAGCCAGAGCAAAAAGGTCCGGTGAAGGTCTAGTCCAGTCCACAAGTAGTGCTTTGTACAAACCACTGCTTCTGGACTGCGGGACTAGTTGATGGGACCCATAGTCCCACTTGCTGTGACCCGCATTGTTCACCATGGGTCGGGTCGGGTCTAGTCAACAATAGATCTTGGCCCTTCATTTTAGGGTATCTCCTCTATAAATACTCTTCATTAGCCTCCAGATAAAGGGTTCACATTCTTTTTCTTTATTCTATCTTCTACTTCACACCTCACCACCATGACTCCATGGCTGGTCTTACCTCTATCCCATATGACTTGGGCGTCGGAGTTCGATCCCGGGGTACACACCCGGGATGAGCACTGACCCTTTCCTTTTTTACAGGTTTCACCATCAATCCATATACCAAGAGAAGGCTTAGCTGCAATTATAGATGGAGTTCAATACATGGTTCTCACATTACCATTTATTGGCTTCCATCAGGATTAGGCCGAAAGATTCCTTCACCAAATGGAAGGGCCATTCGAGGAGCTATCCAAACTGATGCTGCTGTTAATTCTGGTTTGTGATTCACTTCTTATGTATTTAGTGAATACTATGAGCTCTTTTTGCACTTAGCCGTTAACGATCCAACAAGTATTCCTTTTCTAGAGTTTTTTTTTAAAAAAATTATTTTTTAATTGGAAGGTGGATGATCCTTATTCCTTAACTTCTATGTCCTTAGTACGGAATCTAGTGCCTGTAATGGGGAAAAAAATATATCAGATAAGAAAAATATGTACTGTACCGTAACAGGTGTGATGCTGTCAAAAGTAATATTGCCTGGAAACAAGATCTGCACTTTCCTTGATTCGTTGTCTTACCACAGAATTTGGCCCTTCTTGAAAAAATTCCAGACTTGGGAGAAAGGAAGTTGTATGCATGATTTCCATGGAAACTGTGTGTACTTTTATTTGGAGAACTGATACATGATCTTCCTAGTTTTCAATTGGCTGCGGGAATTGTTACTGGGTTAGTCAGCTCTCTGAATAAGTTTTTGTTTGAGTCAAAATTGTATTTTAGAGTGAAGACCGATTCGACTCAAATTAATTTCAAGTGATTGCGTGATATTCTTGAAATATGGAGTCCAAACGCTCAGATTGGCCTAAACGGGCTGATGCCTTTGAATTGACACTCAATCCGTGACTCAAAAGAGTAACGAAAATTTATGGAAAATGGATAAAATGGCCTGCAAGAGCCTGTTTTATTGATTTGATAAAGGACGAGTCAGCTTTGAATAGCCCGCAATGTCGAAATGATTACAAGATTGAAGATCAAAACGTAAAAGATTACATTATAAGCTTGAAAATCGAAAGATAAAAACTGTAAAGGAAAATATGAAATTCTGATTCTTGGATGATGACAGTGTGTTTTTCTCGGTGCCTCCTTCATTGCTTTTATACAGATTCCGCCAACCCTAACTAGGTCGCAACAGAAGTCAAATTCCGCAAGGATTTCTATTGCAGTTGGAATCCTTCTTTGATATGGACTGCAGCGTCATTAACTCCTTTTCGGACTCGACTTCCTCACTCTTTGTTGCATCCGCGAATTTTAACGAAGGCGGGCTTCAACCCGATTCTGCCTCCATTAAAGTGCTACGATCAGACCATTCTCATGTGGACCAGATTTGTCAAAAATGGTCCAACATAAAGCCCCCCGAGGAAAGCAAAATTTGCACACCGGAGCCCAAACTTTGCTTGCCTTATTATCGATTCTTTAGCCCAAATAATGGGACGATCCAGCAAACCTTCCCAAGAAAAAAAAAATTCGATCGGCCCAACATCCCCCCAGAAAAAGTGCGTGTGAAAGACGCGGGTTTGCTTAAACGGCTCCCTAATTGCACACTTTCCGAGCGTTGACTGGGATTTCAAACAAGATAACGTTGGAGAGAGAAAGCAACAGCAATAGTCTCCAACAACTATTTTTTTTTCTTACTCCACAATGGAAACTAAATCTTCTCTGCTTCCAAATCCCTTCAATTCTGAAGTTGTTAACTACCGTTTTTAAGCTGTAAAAATCCGGAATCAAAACCACAAACAATCAATTGATTCTATAATTTCAAAAGTGCAGCTACGCACCAAGACCTGTAAAATTCCTCTTTCAATTCGAAGCAAACCCTTATTATTTTTTTTATCCTCAAAACCAAGATGGCCAGAGCCAGCGCAGTAAACCCAATGGCGTTCGATAGAATCAAAGCTGCAACTCATGGTGTGAAACCCGGAGATGTGGGTTCTTTTCAACCGACTGAAGAACGAGTGATTGTCCCTTTCAAGTCCGATGCACGCCAGTTAACCCTTGGGCCAAATTTCCCATCGGCGCCGAAAAATCTGAAAAAATACATTTCGTTGCTGAACCCAGAATCGCCGTACTACAAGTATGAGAATCCCTTCAAGTTCGAGAATTGGGAACGGCTGCGTGTCTGGCCGTGGTCAGACAAACCAAAAATCCAGAAGGCCTTTGTCCAATGGTACCACCAGTTGGAACCAGAGTACGCTGATACTTGGAGGATGGCTGGGATCTATGACCTGTTGAAGTTCTGCACCATAGGGCTTGGCGAAAGTAGAGATCTAGTGGAGGCTGTATTAGGGTTTTGGAGTGGGTGCAGTAATGTTTTCTACTTTCTGTGGGGCCCTATGACACCAACATTGCTTGATGTATGTGTCATTACTGGTCTGCCTGCTGTTGCAGATGTGGCCGTGGATGGCAATGTGACTGATGATGATGCAGCTGCAGCAACGGTATGGCAACCCAAAAACTATGGACCTTTTATCAACAAAAACAAAGGGCACACAAGCCGGTTACATCATATCTGATTTCTTGTTATGTGGTTGAACAGGTATGTGTTTCCTGGGAAATCGTTTCAAATGACTGTGGATTGGTATCATGTTGCTGGTAGGTTAGCATCTGGGGTACAAATGAACTTAGCAGAAGCTCTACTTGCTATGTTGTATCATTGTTTGCATGAAGCCAGGCATAATCCTGGTGCTCCCTTCTGTGGACCTATATGGTTGTTGCATTTTTGGTTGTATATGTATTTTCCTAGCTTAAAACTAGAAGGTATCTATCCTGTGGAGAGTGACGAGCCGTTGTGGCTTGGTGTGCATCAATATAATGCACCAAACTATGATACCACACAAGTCTTCAAGACTGTCTTTGAATCGAACCCTAGCATTGAGGCAAGTGTACAACAACTCAGCCATGACTGGTGGCATAAAAGCTTTGGGGAAGTTTGCCATGCTGAAGCAGAGAGCGGAAAGTGGGTTAACCATGGAAAATTCAGCCTGGCATCTATATGGAGCCATCTGCTATCAGCAAGGGACCTGTTTTATGGCTGTAAGAGTGCACAATCCCAGAATGTAGTAGCAGACATGCAAGCCGAATACTATCCGGCCAATAATGTAGCTCGGCAATTTGGTTTTGCTCAAAGCGTGCCGCACTTTGATGTATCTTGCTGGAACACAGGGAGGCTTGGTAGAGAAAGACTCGCAATGTCTCAGTACACCACGCATCGGGAGTTGATGGATCTGAGAGGTAGGTCAGTAGCAACAATTCCATTCAGTTTCTGTTTCAATGCAACACCTGGATTTGCAGACTGGTGGTATGAACTGTCAATTGATATGTACGGTTCTGGATACGAGGCAATCAAAACCTCCTTTGGCATTAGTAAGTTTGCAAAGTACAAGTCAATTGGTGGTGTTGCAGAAACAGAGAAGAAAGGTAAAAACAACTATTGCCCCAAATTTACGCTGTAAATAAATCTCTGTGTCACTCTTGTGTATGAATGTAATATTTGCAGGGAAAAGAAAAAGTGGTGCCGCGGCAAAGACTGGTGGTCAATCAAGCAAGAAGAGCACTGCAACCGCCGCTGTCAGGGCAAAAACAAGTACTGGGAAGGATGTGCCAACCTCCACCCCTCGATCCAAGAGGCTGATTGGGAGGAAACGGTCTGCTAGTGAAGTCAGTAATAAGGTAACAAAAATATTACCAGCATGATGATACCATGTCAAACGGAATACTGACAAGTATTCTCCGTCTTTGCCATGTATGAACAGGAGAATCCCGTATCTGTGTCTGAGAGTGAAGAGGAAGAAGCAGAGAGCCTAGGCAGTGAGAAAGGTTCTGCTGCAGTAGCTGAAGATCAAGCTGCGCAGAAAATAGTACTTGAGACTGGCGGCGCTAGAAGCAAAAAGGTAATGAAAACGGCCAGTTTGAGCGCTCCAACCGCTTCTGGGAAGAAAGCTCCTCCATCATTAGAATCACTCAAAGCTAGACTGGAGCGAACAAAAGCGGCAGCTTATGTGAGAACAGAACAAACGTCCAGTGTCCCTGAAATGCCTCTGGTAGTTGCTTTGCAACAAATCACAGAGATGTTTCCACTATCTGTCGAAGAAGTATACAGCGAAAGGTACGATCAGTTGAGCCGATTGCTGGCCATTATCCAGAATTCCATCACCGAAGGGAATATGGCTGCAGCAATACGTTTAGTGTCTTCAGAAGCGGCCCAAAAGCAGATTGAATGCTGAGTTTGTGTTCCCCATATTGTGGAATATCAAACTGCTTATGGCCTGCAGGAGAAGAATAAATTGCTATCTGAGCAACTGATTGAACAGGTAGGGCAGCTGGAAACCAACATCAAAGAGGCTATTGTTGCCGAATTAAAGGCAAAGGAAGAATTGGAGAAAGCACAAGCCAAACCCAAACAACTGGAGGCGGAGCTAAGTGGTGTTGTTGCGGACACTGATGTGGCACTTGATGGATATGGGCGGATGACCACCGTTGTGAACCAACTGCTTCCCACCCAAGTTCCAGGATGCTGAAAAAGTTGTAGAATGTGCGCAGACCAGCTGGAACTTTTTGAAGAATACCATCGCCAAGCTAATGCAGGAAGTAGGGACAGCTCCCAACTCTCCAATGCCCATGAGTCAAACGCCTCTAGGTCATCCTGAAGGCGGTGCAACAGCAAAAGAAAGGCAACCAACTGCAGGAATGCCACAGGATGTGCCACCGCCTGAAGAGGAGGCCTTGATGTGGCACCGTTAGCTAGCAGGCCTGCAACCCCTCCAGCAGAGATCTGATATTGCTTGGGAATTGATACCTTGTTGAACCTTTCTTGATATTTTGTTTTCTGATTTAGCCTCCCGGTGTTGCACTGAGATGTTACCTGCACTAAACAATTTATTTTTATTTGTTGTTAGTAGTAAACAATGTCCTTGCTTTTCACTCATTGGTATCTTTTGGCTGCAATATCTCTTGCTAACTGTTGTTCTTTAGTGTTGAGTTGGTGCCAAGCAATGGCAAAGTACTTGCGCAAATATGATGCATTGATGGATCTATCTGCGATTGTTCCGTCAAAATCTTTCAAAAAATAGACACCCGGGCCTAAATGTTGATGAAGTATATTGGAACCCTCCCAGGTGGGGCTCATTTGCCATAAACATGATCTTTGTGCCCTAAAGATAAGATTGCTTTCCACACCATTTCGCCGATATTGAAATGCTTATATCTGACAAACTTATTGTAAGCCCGGATGATTCCTGCTTTCTGGTGAATTATATTAGCTACTGCTATGTTGCGGCAATGGGCCAACTTGTCATGATCAATTAGCATATCTGTTGCATAGTCGGCGGAATCCAAAGGAGACTGTTTCTCAACTCGAAAGGAAGGGATTAGTGTTTCAACAGGCAACACGGCATCATGCCCATAGACCAACTCATATGGGGTTGCCTTTGTACTATCTCTTTGTGTTACCCGATAAGCCCATAAAGCTTGACGCAGCACTTCATGCCATTGCTGTGGGTTATCGGAAATTGTTTTCTGTATGATTCCTTTCAAAAGTTTGATCGTTGATTTGGCCTGACCATTACCTTGAGCAAAATAAGGAGAAGAATGAGTTAGGGTGAAACCCATATCTTTTGCAAGCTGCGTCATATCTTGACCGGTAAAATACTGCGCTTGATCTGTGATGATTGTTTCCGGCAAACCAAACCTGTAGATGATATATTCTTTGATAAAACTGATAACGGCCTTCTAATCTACATCCTTTAAAGGGATTTCCTCCACCCACTTTGTAAAATAGTCTGTTGCAACAAGAACATATCTGTGCCCAACAGAAGAAGGTGGATGAATCACGCCTATAACATCAAGGGCCCAACATCGGAATGTCCATGGTTTGACTATAAAATGCATTGGCCCCGGGTGTGTATGTGGAACATCAACATGTTTCTGACAATCTACACACCCTCTGGCAAAATTTATACAATCCGGAATCATAGTTGGCCAAAAATAACCGTGGCGGCGAAGTAGCCATGCCATCTTCCTGCCTCCTTGGTGGGCACCACAAAAACCTTCATGAGTTTCTAAAATCAAGACCATGGACTTTGGTTTTCCCAAATATCGAAGGAATATTTCATTAGATGTTTTACGATATAAGTGTCCTTGCAACAATATGTAGTTGGGCGCATGTCTCGGGATGGAAAACGGTGTATGGTATGTCGGGTCTTGCAAAAACCTGATAATCGGCGTTCACCAATCTTCTGCTGTAGTAATTATTGTAACAGGACATTCTGCATTCAATGGATATCTGACATAGGCAGGAGTATCGAAATCAATTGTGTCATAAGCGATGTCCGGTCCCAATGGTGTTTTAAGGTACCCGGATGCTAATTGCACCATATCATTTACTTCTGCATTGAATTCTCTTTCAACGTTTTGAAACTCAATATGCTGGAATCGAGCATCTAACATATCTCCAACTGCTGCATATTTAGCCATGACTTCATCACTTCGTTCCATTAATTTCTTCATTTGGCCAACAACTAAGGCAGAATCTCCGATGACCTTTGCATGAGTTGCACCATTATATAGAAGTGTCTCAAGTGCATGAATTAATCCTTCATATTCAGCTTGATAATGTGTAGCTTTGAAACTGAACCAAACTTTTCACCGCAGTTTTGGTCCAAACGGTGGTGTAAGCACTATTCTTGCGCCACTACGGTGAAAAGTTCTTGAACCGTCAAAGTGTACTATCCACATAGGAGTTTCTAACTGGTGCACTTGAAAAGTACCAAGGAACTCATCGTCCCAATCATTGTCAAGTGAAGGGAGTGCGGCCAGGAAATATTCTAATGCTTGCCCTTTAACCGCTGATTGCGGTACGTGTTGAAATTGATATTCCATCAAAGCCAGGACCCATTTTCCAATCTGGCCACTCATCATTGGTCAATGCAGCAAGTAGCCGACAAGATTGATTTTAATAATAACACAGACTAGTCTCGGAAGCATGTAATGCCGCAACTTAGTCACAACGAAATATAATGCTAAACAAAGTTTTTCAATCGGTGGATACCGGCGTTCAGTGTCTGTAAGCATTCTGCTGAGGTAGTATATAGCTCTTGTGGTAACAAACAACCCAACGAGTCTTCTATTGCTGACAAATATAGCTTTAAAGGTTTATCCGATATTGTTGGAACCATTACTAGAGGAGTTGATAAAGCTTGTTTAATATCCTGAAAAGCTGGCTATTACTCGTCACCCCATACAAAATCTGTTGCAGATTGCACTTTCAAAAGCGGAGAAAAAGGTTTCAACTTCTTCGACATGTTTGAAATGAATCGGCGAAGGAAATTAACTTTGCCGATTAAGCTCTGTAACTCTTTCTTTGTCTTTGGAGGTCTAGCTTCAATGATTGCTTTAGCTTTTTCTACATCAATTTCAATACCCCTGGAGTGTACTAAGAACCCCAAGGAAACTCCTGAGGAAACAGTGAATGCGCACTTCCATGGGTTCAACTTCATTCTATACTTCCTCATACGCTCAAAACACTGATGCAAATGTTGTAAGTGATCCCCAAAAGAATGCGATTTCATCACCACATCATCTATATATACCTCCAGAACCCTTCCGATGAGATCATGAAAGATGCAGTTCATTGCTCTTTGGAACGTTGCTCCGGCATTCTTTAACCCAAATGGCATAACCTTCCACTGGAAAATGCCTAAAGATCCTGGCGCACGGAAAGTAGTCTTATGAACATCTGCAGGAGCTATGAAAATTTGGTTATATCCAGCGTTGCCATCAACAAAACTCATGACTTGAAAACCCATCAACTTGTCAATCAATGTTTCCGCATTCGGCATTTGAAACTCATCCTTGGGAGACGCTAGATTAAGATTACAGAAATCCGTGCAAACCCTGGTTTCCCATTTTTTTTTATAATGGGGACCACATTAGATAGCTATTCAACATATACTGCAACTTCGATAAAGTCAACCACCAATAAACGTTCAATCTCTTCTTTCACCTTGTTGACCACTTCTTTTGAAAACCTCCTTGGTGGTTGTTTGAATGGCTTGAAACCCTTTTTTAAAGGGATACTGTGTTCTACCAAACTTTGATCTAAACCTGGCATTTCCGTATAGTCCCAAGCGAAACAATCACGATACTGCTTCAAAAGATCAACTAGTGACTTCTTGTCATCGGCAGATAAAGAAGAACTGATATAAGTAGGCTTCTCCTTGCAAGATGATCCTAAGTTTATTACTTCGACTGGTTCTTTGGTAACAACTGCTTCATCACTTAACCTTGGAGTTGCAGTAGCCAATTCACTCAAATTGATGACGTCACTGACTGAAACTGGATCTGCATCATAAATTACTTCATCCCAACATACCGCAGGCGTTTCAATTTGATGTTGATGCTCATTCTCAAAATACTGCAACACACGCTTGATGGCGGCTTGCTTTTCATTTGCCTTCAACAATTCTTGATCTAACTCCATCGTATCCAAAACACTTCCTATTCAATTGCCTTCATTAGATACTTCTTCAATAGACGGAGCAGCTGGCAACGGCCTTAACATGTTGTAATTGTATGGCCTGTTGACTTCTTGTAACAGCAACTTCCACCCTGGAAGACTCATATCACGACGCATAGTGGCCTACTGCGGCCGACCATACTTATCCATCCCAACAAGACGGTATTGACCTACTTCACTGTCGTAATAATAAGCCTCTACAGCATTAGCTTGAGCTGCAAATGGACTTGCATCGGCAGCTATGATTTCTGGTCCATCTGTTCCCCATATAATAATCGCTTGATGTAATGAAGAAGGGATACATCTTGCTGAATGGATCCAGTCACGCCCTACAAGAGCATTGTAAGACGCTTTAGTGTCAACCACAAAGAACACCGACCCCACCACTTGTGATCCTACCTCCACTTGCAGTGGTAGGATTCCTTTAGCGGTTGTAACGTCTCCTGTAAATCTGCTAACTAAAACTTCAGTTGGCACTAAATCTTTGAGTTGCTTGCCTAATCTCTGTAAAGCTCTTGTGGGTAAGATATTAATTGTTGCATCGTTGTCCACCAACACCCGTCTCAATGGTACTCCATCCATGATGGCACAAATGTATAATGGCCAAATGTGAGTCCCAGAGCTCTCAGCTGGGTGAGAGAGCATTATGACCGAGCCTTTACCTTCTTGAGATAGCAGCTGAATACCACCAACTGTAGCGTCATGTGGTTCTGTTACGAACGAAACTGCTTCAGGAACAACCAGTGTGTTTGCCACAGCTTTGGGGAGGATAGTTGTTGCAGTTGCAGGTTCTTTCAAACGAAAAGTTTTCGGTAACATATAAACCATGTTTACTAGTGGGAAGAACGTATCCACTTTCCTCCACAACTGTGACCGTCTATCTTCCTGCCCTGAAAACTTATTTATTGACGCTTGCTGGGGACAATGGGGGTTGTTCCTCTTGTACCGTTCCTAACTTTCCTGTTGCACCCCTATTTTGTTTATTCATAACCCTCTGCCATCATCGTCTCTATGTCCTGGTCATCTTTTCTTTCCTTAATAATGGAGTAGGGAACTTGGGATGGACAGCGTGATGCCATTCTCTGTCATTCATGGGTGCTGCTCTGACTGACCTGGGCTTGGTATTGTCCCTTTGGTTGGAACACTGAATCCGTTGCCACACTGACGGTTTTGTATCATGAACTTGGTATGGCGAGTTAGCCTTAGGGTTAACAATGGTATTCCCCAGCCTTGTATGGACGGGCACTCGTTGTTGCGTCTGAAGAACTTCTGCATTCAAACCTTGATGTTGTAAACTCTGTTGCTGATTTTGGTTCAAAGCACTCAAGATTGCATCTGACACATCTCTCAGTTTCTATTGCTCCAGATCTAAACGTGTTTCCTTTTGTACCCATGTCTGTGTCTGTCCATTTATCACTATATTCACTTCTGTTGCAGGTGGACGTGTATTCTGTCGATGCGAATGGCCTCCGAATTTAGACCCTAGCTCTTGCAACTGTTGCTTGACCTTATTATATACTTTATCACAATCTTCACAACCAGTGACCAAACATGTGTAAGAGGAATGACTTCCGAATCCTACATTCACCATTCGACCTGATACTGTGGTGGGAAAGGATTGACATTCATTTCAATTGGATCCTCTACTACCACATTGCCATCATCAATCATTTTTTGAAGTTTATTCTGAAACACCACACAGTCATTTATGGTGTGAGTCCATGACATGTGATACTTACAATACGTCTTTCCAACTAGATCCGTTGGCTTTGGTTGTCTATATCCCCTTCTGTACTGGATATGGCCTTTCTGGAACATGTCATAAAAAATGGCCTCTTGTTGTGATATGTCGAAAGAATATACTCTACCAATATTAGCTCCATCAGCTTGCCCTGAGGTGCCTGCCGGTGCACCTACCGGTGGGGGAGTATTATAAGAATGTGGAACTGTAGGGCGACGTAATGCGTCACACGTGTAGTTATGGACATTGACAATTTCAGCAGCATTAACTTCGTATTCATCGTCGTCCTCATCATGAACCCATTGATTCTGATCCACTTCTGCTATTGGAGCTTTGTTGAACCATTGCTTCGTCTTTCCCGGGTTCTTCTCCCTTCTATCTTTAATGACTTTCTCACATCTCCTCACAATATCTGCCAAATGATTTAAAGATCGAACAGAATGTGGTGCGACGGCCAACTTGACTTTGTAATCCTGAATCCCAGCAATTGCCATCTTGACAATAGTTGGCTCGTCATACTTATCCGGTATCTTAGCATACATTTGACGAAAGCGTATCAAATAAGCTTCCACAGTTTCTCCAAACTTCTGTCGAATTTCTGAAAGATCAATGATTGACAACCGTGTGGTATCACTACGGAAGTAAGACAAGAATTCTCACTGCTGCATTTCCCATGACGGGATAGAGCCTGGTGCTACTGATCGGTACCAATCAAAGGCGGTCCCTTTTAGAGAATAAGAGAACAAACGCAACTTGATTAGAGCATTGTTGCTTACCAACCCGCACTGCAATTCAAATAAACTTATATGATCCTCGGGTCTCTTCTCATCCTTTCCTGAAAATTGCTGGAAATCGGGAATCTTAAAGTTCCTTGGCAATGGCTCCCATTCAACATAGCCGGGATATGGTTTTCCTGGAATCTCTGGAATTTCTGTGCCTAGCTTCTTACGGATCTTGTCTTATATCATTCTTGAAAATACATCCTCAGCGTTTAAAATCTGATCAACACCTGTCTCAAAATTCTGTTGCTGATTATCGTTCGCTGCTGTGTCGGTTCTTGTCTAACTTCGTTACCAAGATCCACCTGATGACGACCACCTCCTTGTCCCCATAAACGCTGGTGACGTGGGTTGTGTCTATTTCTCAAATTCTGGTTTCTGATATGTCTTCCAATAGTTTGGGCCCTATTTCGGTTCAGAATCTGGTTTGCTTCGCACTCCATCCACTGTTGTTCCTATCAATTCTCTTCCAATGTTTGATGAGGTGGAACAATTTGCGGATCAGTAACCACAATACCAGAGCCTTGAGGTATGTGTGAATCATCCAAATTTGTAGCTGCGGTATTATTTCTTGGTACTCGGTTCTGATATAATATAAAGTGGCGATCATTGGTTGCTTGCACGTGTTGACCAGCCTGCCTTGCATTTTCAATAATAGCACCTTGATTGTTTCCCGTACCAACAGGGCCCTGATTGACTGTTACACCCGCAGTTTCTTGGACATCTACATCCTCTGTTCCCTGTGGTATGTACGTTAGTCTAGGAGCACCCTCTGGTCCACTCAGATGTGATAGGATTGCCGCTAATCTTTGTCAATGTTGCATTAGTAAAACTTGCTGTGGAAATGCAGCATTTTGCAACTGAAATTGGTTCACCTCTTGCGCATTCCTTGCAACAGTATTATTTGTTGCATTTCCAACCTGCTGCATTCCCGGAGTCACCTGCCATGGCGCCTGGAACCTTTGATTGGGCAATTGTTGTCCCCATGACGTTCCAAGCATCATCACTGGTGTGCCATATTGAGGAGACAATGGAGGTAACTGCCGTCCATCAAAAGTAAAAATTCCCTGGTGGTGACACAAATGCTGGCTGACTCGGAACAATTGGGTAATACTAACTTTATATCCCTTGTAATGCTGCGTTGTGAGATCCACTGTTACTTGGTCTCGCTCTGAGATTCTGCAACGGAGTATCTGTTGCAGATGTTTGGAATATGGCATGATATAAAGAATTATTAACCATACTGACTGGTGGCACCTCTGAACGCACTGCTCCTGTAGCCGTGTTAACTCCTGATGTCACAGATCTACTAAGTGTAACACTTCTTGTGTTTGTATTGTGGTCAATTAGCCTCTGAAAAGCATCCTCAAAATACTCCACTTGTGTAGCCATAGCATGCTCTATGTTTGAAAATCGTTGATGCAACATCTCGGGCGTTATCCCTGGAACCTGACTCGTTTGACCTTGGATACCGAACACAGGAACCTAAAACAACGGGCTCTGAAAGGCTGGAGTTTGAAATCCTGGACGTCTATAGGACCTGAGATAACTCAATCTTTCTCCGAACAGACCTAATCCCACATTGGACTGTTGCTGGCTAGATTGTTGTCGTATCCCCGTGGACTGATCCGTTGTTATTGTTGAATAGGAATCCACCGCCGAAATGTTTGGAAGCGTATTCATCGGCAAGGAACTCCCACCTGATGCAAAAGTCTGAACCGGTAGAGAGCTCTATCCTGCCGAATGTGCTGTTGCTGATGACTGAGGTAATGACGTTATTTTTCTGCTCAAACAACATCTGGAACACGCAAATTGGTTCCACCGGGCGTGCCAAATTTTATTTTTGAGTCAAAATTGTATTTTAGAGTGAAGACCAATTCGGCTCAAACTAATTTCAAGCGATTGCGTGATATTCTCGAAATACGGAGTCCAAATGCTGAGATTGGCTAAACGGACTGATGCCTTTGAATTGACACTCAATCGGTGACTCAAAAGAGTATCGAAAATTTATGGAAAATGGATAAAACGGCCTGCAAGAGCCTGTTTCATTGATTTGATTAAGAATGAATCGGCTTTGAATAGCCCAAAACGTCGAAATGATTACAAGATTGAAGATCAAAACATAAAAGAATACATTAAAAGCTTGAAAATCGAAAGATAAAAACTGTTAAGAAAAATATGAAATTCTGATTCTTGGATGATGATAATGTGTTTTTCCCGGTGCCTCCACCAACCCTAGCTAGGTCGCAATAGAAGTGAAATTCCGCAAGAATTTATGTTGCAGCTAGAATCCTTCTTCGATATGGACTGCAGTGTCATTGACTCCTTTTCGGACTCGGCTTCCTCACTCTTTGTTACATCCGCGAATTTTAACCAAGGCGAGTTTCAACCCGATCTGCCTCCATTAAAGTGCTGTGATCGGTCCATTCTCATGTGGACCAGATTTGTCAAAAATCGGTCAACAGTTTTATGCAAGAACTACATGATGTTCTATCTAGAAAAGAGAATACTACTACCATGAACAATAATTTATTTGAAAGCAAAGTGCTCCTTGGTGGGGCTTTGAAATAGGTTTCAACAGCTGGGGAGTCTGACTAGTTGTTTTATCATCAATTATGGTTTCTTGGAGACTTGCACCGTTAATTATGTTTTCTTTATGATTTAAGGCTTGATGATTGCATTTTGGCATTGCAGGAAATTCAGGCGGGACATTGATCGATTCCTTTGGCCATGTGATAGGAGTTAATACAGTAACATTTACACGGAAAGGTATTAAACTTATCTTCTGAAACAACATTGTTGAGCTTATGCTTAAAACTACTGAATGTAACAACAAGAAGAAACGGAGATTTTCTGACCAATAAATACATACCAGATAACAAAGCCAATATTCGATAAACGTAGTTCCTATTTTGATAGGCAACCTAACCAAATTAGCACTATTTATCCCCCTCTGCCCATTTTGAGGGAATGTAAGGTTTATAAAGGATACATAATTAGGTGAGCATGATAAAAATAATCTACGATTAATTTAGCTCATTTATCCACAATTGTTGTGCTACTCATCTTGTGTAGAGACCAATTAAGGGCCTGGGAACTTCAGCAACTTGAAATAGTTCTTCGAGATGATTTGAATCTCTTGCACCACTTAAATGTTTTGAATTTGTAAGGACATACCGGAAGTTCTGGTTGGGATGTCTTCTGCACTTCATTGATCAATGTACATCCCAATTTTGGTACTGGTTCTGACTTCACGTAGTATGATTTATGCGAATGGTTTATAAAGTGTTCTCTGATTTATATGCTAAATTACAATAGAATGCCATTCCAGATAAATGCTAATAATCTTTCAGGAGAATGGGTCTTTTCATCCCAAGATTTGAGCCACACCATCTAAAATATCTCAAAGTTTAAAAGCATGTCATTTTCATCCCAGGCTTTTTAAAAATATGTAATATTAGGATATTTGTTAATTTTTTCAAGTTATTAACGGCGATATTTCATTCAGTTTCTTTTCCCCCATTTTTTTTAGTCAAAAAAGTTTCATGCTTGCGTTTGGTAAATTTGGTCCATGCCAAGCAAAAAAGTTGCATGCCCCTGCATCAATTACAACACCAATTTTTATAATGATGCTACATATTTAAAAAAATTAAATGAAATAGGGCTTACTTTCTAATTAGGACACACACGAAATCTCTCATGATTGTAATCAATTTAGAAGGTGAATCTTAGATTTTTTTTTTTCTTTTTCTAAGCAAGGGAAAAATGGATGATGTGAAAACCAAATTAGGTTTAGCTATTTTCTTATAAGGTGGGACTTAGTGGAATGTGTTAAATGATTAAAAGAATTAGGTGAGGAGAAACAGAATAAAGTACCACCACTAATTAATTAATTGGTGTTAAAAATTTAACGAATATCCTAATTTAACATGTTTAAAAAGTTTAGGATGTAAATGACATGTTGTTAAACTTTGGGATGTTTTGGATGGTGTGGCCCAAACTTTAAGATGAAAAGACCCATTTTCCCTAATCTTTCATTGTTTATCGTGATCCAGGTATAGGAACATCCTCTGGTGTAAGCTTTGCCATACCAATTGATACTGTTAGGCGCACCATACCTTACTTGATTGTGTATGTTACCCCTTACGCTGATAGATATTAACTATTCTGGCGATCTCTCATTTAAGATATTTGTGTTTGTCGTAAGGAGTTGAAGGTACTAATGGAAGCATAAGTTCTTTCCGAATTTTGGGGTGGTTGTCATCGAAGCTGATTGAAGGGAGTTTAACTAGGATTTGCTATGTTATCACCCTTTGAAAAAGTAAAAAAAAACATGCATATAAATTTTATATCTTTCATAGAAAACAATTACCGTTCACATATATACAAGAGGTTGGACAGCTATGCTTCATGTGCTTGCACTCAGTATATCTACATGATTAAGTAATTCAACTCTTACGGCTTGCAATATTAAGGCTTTGCACTGGCGACCATAGCTGATCTGGTAAGGAAAATCCCCTGACCTTTAACACCTTTGACTGTAGCATACTTTTGAGATTTTGGAGACTGATCAGGCCATTGTCCAACACTGATAGCCATGTCCTTCAAATTTTGAAGGCTTTCAAGAGTCTCAATAATTGATGGCATCTTTGGTCTGTCTCGAGGGTTCATACTAACACATTGAAGTGCCAAATGTGCCATTTCTTTAGCTCCCTTAACCGAGTATTGCCCTGAAAGCCTAGGATCAATAATGCAACGTAGCCTCCGGCTGCTACTCAAGTAGGGCTTTGCCCAATCCACAAGACTTTGCTCGGTCTTGGCCCTCGTCTTATCCATCGCCCTTCTTCCAGTTAGCAGTTCTAGCAGTACTACTCCGAAACTATAAATGTCACTTTTCGTTGTTAAGTGTCCTAAACACAAACAAATTGCAACGATTATGTAGTGGTTTGATACACTTCATGAAGTGCTGGTTTTTTGTTTTTTTTTTTTTTTCCTTTTTCTGGTAAAGATTAGTCACTCTCTCTGTTTCCAAATAATATTTCAGTTCTTATACCATTTTGAATATGTAACAAACTGGATAATTATTTGGTTGGAGTAACAGTGGGTTACATCAAAAGGACTCAAAAATCAGTACAAAGGTAATACCTGTGCTGACATATTCAGGAGCAGCATATCCATAAGTGCCCATTACACGAGTAGTGACATGGGTGTTTGATCCTTCAGGTCCCATTGTGGCCAGCCCGAAATCTGACAACTTTGCATTGAACTCCTACATGGATAGAAATCCTTGAAGTAAATCACATCTCCATCTTACACTATAAGCCTAAGCTTATGACAAAGTAATACTTCTATTTTAACTAGTTACAATAGATAATTCAGGTATTGTTACTCTTTTTCAACCCCAAACTTCATATAATTGCAATAAAACATTTCCAAAAAAAGATATAAATTAAACATGTTTTTTTTTTTTTGGGCCCGGACGTTTACCGAATCTAAGAGGATGTTTGAAGTTTTAAAGTCACGATATATGACTGGCTTCTCGGCACCATGTAAAAATGCAAGCCCTTTTGCTGCACCAATTGCAATCTTCAACCTAGTGTTCCAAGGTAACGAAACTGACAGTCCTAAAATCATGTTCAGAAGTGAATTATAACATAGAACGAAAAGAAAATAAAATAAAAGCGCACACAAGCACACACAAAAAAAAAAGGAAGAAGAAGAGAGAGAATAGGTTTAAACTACTTACTCTTGAATAAATGGTTTTCTAAGCTGCCACGAGGCATGAACTCGTATACAAGCAGCCTCTCTTCATCTTCACAGCAGTAGCCAATTAATTTTACCAAGTTTGGGTGCCTCAATTGCCCAAGAAAAATCACTTCCGCCTTTTTAAGAGATTATTAATAACTAATTAGTTTGTTGTTCTATCGTAAGTTTCACTTTATATAACTTATTACCATTGGAAAGGGAGCAAAATTACAGTAATCTTAAAATATCTCCTTTCTTGTTTCATAATAATAATAAAGTATTCTTATTCAAAATCAGCACCGGTCCAAAGAAATTTTTCAAATCGTTTGCGAAAAATATAGGTATAGCTAATATATATAATCGGAGAAATCGCGTACAAAATGACTGTACTATTTTTATTTTTTTTTTACTCCTCTTTTAGTGCAAAAGGTTCGAAACTGGACATTCATTTCGAAATGGAAAACGTAAAAAAAATTTGTAGAAACATGCTTACAAGCCATTCACGGTGTCCTTGAAGGCCTTCAATGTCAAGAAGCTTGATAGCAACAGCTTGAGCTTTTAACCCTGGCCTAAGATTGTCATCAATGTAGCCCTTGTGGACTTTTCCGAAACCGCCCTCTCCGAGCAAGAAATTGCTCGAGAAGTTATGCGTTATGGCGCGTAACTCGCTGAGCTGAAAGTCGTACAAGTCGGGTCCAAATGACTGTGCAATATCTTCGTTTATTCGAGCCGACGAAGACCGGCTAAGATCCGAGAAAGATAGCCTCCGGAAGGAGGGCATCGGGGCGATGTTCTTTGAGAATTCCGACCTTGACGGGCGACACCGGCTGAAATTCCCGAAGATGACATGGTCTTCAACCGTGCAACAGTTTGCTGTCAATGGCCTCCATGGCTTTGAGTTGGTGTCCTTCATTTTTTTTTTTTTCTCCACCTTTCTCTTTGAATAATATGATTGAGAACTTTTATGTGAAGGAATGAGAAGATGAGGGGGTATATGTATGCATAGATGTAGAATTAATTACCCAAAAGATATTTTTTATAAAAAAAAAAAAGAAAAGAAAGAAAGAAAGAACGAACGCAAAAGCTTTTGTGAGGGAAGAATTAATGCAAAGTAGATGACATTCTTTTGCTAACTGCTCCAACTACTCTACTAATTTGGGTATCTTATTTTGATCTAATCTATACGAAGGTTTATTATTTGGTCAATGTGGATTGGTATTAGTTTGTGTGAAAGCATATGTTTGAGGGAGGAAATAATGCAAGTAAAGATCATAGCTTGGGGGACAATATTCCTTTTGGCTAACTACTCCAACCACTCTACTAATTTGGGTGTTTTGTTATGATTGTTTATGCGTTATGCATACATTTATACGTTGACTGATATATCATCTTAGCTCACTTGTCTCTTTAGAGAGTTAATAGTGTGATGTAATTTTATTCTTAACGAAAGCAAGTACAACCTGCCCAACTTGAAATATTAATAATTTGGATTTTTTAATCAAATTGCTCAAATTGGCCTGAAATTACCATAGATATTGTTGATGGAGCGTTTTACTTGGCTAATTAGATGACCCTTCATTTCGAAATAATTATCCAATTTAAATTTTCACTTTTAATACAAGTTATACTAGATATAAAAATTCAAACTAAACATTAGAGAGTGCTTAATAAATTATACACAACTTCATTAATCAAATTTAGTTAGGGGTCTCACTTTGTTTTGTATCTTCTCTTGTTCAATTTGTACACTAAGGGAGTTTTTGACCTAAATGTATTTCCTTAGCACTAGACTGGACAAAACTATTTCCGGTTTGGAGGAGTAAACAAAAATATGTCTTTCGGATGAAGTAAAGGAACTTCGATTTTCACAAATCCAAAAGTACAAACATAATCGGATTTTATTATTTTTTTTTTGGTAAACAAGTTCAACAGAAGGCTAACGCCTTAAAATACATCAAGGTGAACACACACAATCCTGCTCTAATAACATATCTATACATGTTGGGGGAACATAAAAAAAATATACCCCTCTATCCCTATCAAGTGCCGCCTTAGTAAGAGTATCGGCACATGAATTATCTCTAGGCGTGTGAACAAAACGCACTTCCCAACTAGTACGCAAAAGAGAATGAATCCCTCGAAATTCGGGGTTCAAGGGAGTTTCAGGTTGATCCTTCATGCTTAGGATCAGATCAATTGCCCCTTGCGAGTCCGATTCATAGACTAGCTTGGCAATTCCCATGTTCTTGGCGACCTCCATAGCTAAGAGGACCGCCCTCAATTCCGTTGTTTCAACAGCGCAATAAGCAAAATTCTTATTCAGAGCCTTAATAAATCTACCTCTGTCATCCCTGAAAAATCACACCTGCTGCTGCTTCTTTGGTTGCTTCGCTAACAGGCCCATCACAATCGGCTTTAACCCATGTAGCCGGTGGTTTAGACCATCCTGTGTCAAGCTCTCTCCTTCCCATTCTCTGCCACTTCAACATGTTTTGACTTGATAAGATTTTTGTCATGAGACTTGATAAGATTTTCATATTTCTAAAATCTGACTTCTTAAATTTAATTGAACTCTAAGATTTATGAAATTCGATAGATGTAATTATGTTAAATAAAAAAAAATGGATTGTCGACACAATTTATTTAATTTTTTCTTTTTTTGTTTTAATCAACCCATTTGTGGGAATCTCGTTCTGTTCTGTCAGTCAGCTGGTGAAGTTCCAAACCAGGAGTGGCCGTTCTAATATCCTTACGACTAAACTGACATCAAAAACATATTGTAGTTTGCAACTTCAATCAAAGCAAGTAACAGGAAGCTAAGAATATTCATCAAACTATGTACTTGATTATATCATCTGGAAAAATCATGTAGATTGACTTAAGTTTTTTCATCAACTGCACAATAGCTGTCATATATAAATCACTGACTATTACAAAAAGATTGCCCGAGGGAAAATATGACTAAACTTTACAATCTGAAATAAAACTGCAGATATGAAATTAAGCAAAACTTGTAAACAGATCGCCAAAGCTTTCCTGTACTAATCATGGAGTTTGTCAGATGATTGTCGACAACGGCACTATAGACAGCATAGATTAATGAAAACTAGTTCACATTCACCGACAATTTTACACATATCGTCGGTGGTAAGAAAATGATTAAACTTTACAATCTGAGATAAATTGCAGATATGTAACGCCAGGCGCAAGAACTTGTAACATATTGTCAAACATTCCTGCACTGATGTTGATCATTAACGGCTAATTTTCATATGCATCAAGATACTTGGCTAACAGGAACTTTTTCTTTCCACTCTACATATGCTGAAGGAAACCATCCAGCCTCTCCCTTGCATTCTCCTTCGGACCATCCATTGGAAGCAACCTACAAAAGGCAGCAACGATTCACTAGCACAAAAAGAAAACAATAGATTCACTAATAATATCAGATAGACTGAACAGCCACAATGTGCACGCTAATGAGTGCTTGATTACAAACAACTACGACCACATCCCCACAAAGTGAGGTCGGCTAAAATAATGACGCGTTTGTGCTGGGTAGAAACACGTTTTTTTTTCTAGTTTCAAAAAATCATGTCAAGTTTAGTAGGTCTTTAATCTTTTAAAAAAGTCTCTCCACCTTCTTTTAAATTGACTTAGTGACTTTTATTATTTCCTTTATTTCTACTAGTTCTACTGAGTACCAATCTACAGTTTTTCCTGCATATAGTGTCTGAACTTTCCATGTTATTCTTGAATTTTCCAATTGATTATCTTAAACATGATTCTAATAATTTTCTAATCTATACGAGCACACATGATTGGATATCCATAAGGAATCCATTACTGAGGCTATCTCACTAAGAGAGGTTTTCTTTTCAATTATTTTTGGGTATGTCAATTAATTTTTTAAGTTGAATGATTTTATGTTTCTTTCTAGGGTTTACTGGTGTATTTAAAGGTCTGAATATATTTCAAACTATCTAAAGTGTGCCCAACTATATGCGAAATGAATAAAAATTGCACAACATATAGACTCACATAAGATATGGAGAAAGCATTTGCAATAAAACCTACCTGTCTGACGACAACATAGTCACCAACAGCAAGGCTTAGCTCACCATCTGTTTGGGCATCAAATGAGTGTATAACCTGGAAACAAAACTAGGTTGTTAAGAATGCAAAGCGAAAGCATCATTAGTTGCAGAATCCAGCAAATTCAGACAACAGTGTCTTTAAGATATCAAGGAGGCCAAAGGTCCATACCTTTCCAATAAAGTAGGAATCATTCCCATCTGCACTTCGCAAACAAGCAGACTTGATTACCGTATCATGATTTTGAGATGAAATGTTATCTTTTAGCGGAGGTGAGAGATCCTGTGAAGGCTCAGCTAGCTGCTCCTCCAGAATCATCTGAGTACAAAAAATAAAAAGAGGTACACATGATTATTACTCTGTTTAACAGAGACTACGAGAAGTGGTTTCAATAAATCAAGACTTTCGAACAAGCTACATCATGTGCCTAAACTTTTGTAAATAAGGTATTAACACCAATAACTTCAGACCTCAGAATGAAGCTTCTCCAATAGAGCAACAATATGCTGATGATAAGATCTCTCTGCATCTACCTGTAAGCTAAATTCATGTAAGATCCCATGATTATTGAAGCTGATTGTGATACACTCATTGTGGGGTAACCAACAAAAAAAAAAGACAACTTTTTTCTCCGGGGAAATCAAACTACAAAAGAACAACAGAAAGGCTGTGTGCACAACAGGAAAAAAAAGAGAATGTGGACCATCAGCTCATCAATACTTTTGATGTATAACCTGGACCCTCAGAAAATCCCCACAACACACAAATAAACTCATCCGAAGGAATGGCAAAGGAGATAAAGAAACATAGAACAAAGGAAAATGGTTCTTTTGTATTCTATAAAAATTTTGTACATGATCTCTGATTAAACTCCCAGTCTCCCACACCAAACGGAAGCAATTGAAGAAGATGGAAAACTAGGTTCCAGAAAGGAAAAAGCATCCTCAGCCCAGATCCTCCCAGATATAACCAAAATAAAACTAATAATGCAGAATAAGTTGTTGGAAAATATCAAAGCTCAACTATATGAGGGAGATAACTTTGTCAAATTATAGAGATATCTTGTCTCATTGTCAAAGAAGCTACACGGAATATATTTTCATGGAATTTTACAGATAAGAGGGTCCTCCGAAGCATAAATCATTTACAGTAACGATAGATAGGTTTATTTCCTTTTCCTACGCCGGTGGAAATTGGGAAGTGCAGGTGGTCTTTATAGAATTGGGAATAATCTTAATGTTGTATTGGAACTCAAACAAGCAACATGTATGAGATGTCTGCCTCAACATATTGACAAGCGTCAGTCTTATTCAGGCAAAGATAAATTCCCACTAATAAGGGCGTAAACCTGACGTTTGAGCAACATTACCATGGTAAGGAGCTTCTGAAAAGTAAGTTGTTGTTGGTCATCTTCGACTGATAGCATAGCGGAAGTTGCTTCTCTCCCAAGTGCCAACATTGAAGATTTAAGTTCGGTCAATCTTGCTTCGGCACTTTTGAGCTTAATGACGCTCTCTGCAGAAGAATCTTTGCATTTTGATCTCCGCCTTAATACATCAGCTGCCTTTTCCAGGATGGAGGGGGATGGGGAGAGGATGCGTAAAGAAAAAATTAATCAGTACATACAAGATTCCATCCCCAGTACTACGGGACAATTAATCAATACCTACAAGACTCTGAAGGTTAATTACCTGAGCTTCAAACTCCTGACGGACTCTGTCATAGCGGTGAGTCAAGTGGCGAGCATCTTCTAGTGGAGCTCCAGCAATTGAAGCCCGTAAAGGTTCACAAACCTGCAGGTACAAAAGCAGATTTTGAAGGCACACCACCCTAAAAAGTAAGATAAAACCATATTATTGCTCATAACTACAAGTAGCTATTGAAAATTAGGTGGGCCTCGAGCTGTAAACTTTCAAAGAAAATGTTGAATGACAGAACTAAACATGATTAGCTTTTATAGAAAGATGTACTACAAAGATTCTTGCAGCAAAGCAAGCTGCATAATGGACCATTTCATCCTGTTTCTAATGATATGGGTGCTATTCCGATGAACCCCAAAACTATAACTTGGGCCAATGCTATGCATCATGTATGTGTATATTCGTTAATTTAATAAGAAAAATAACCCTTCATCTCTATCCTCCCTAAAACATACAATATGGAAGGTATCTGGATTCAGATGCAACAATAAGATTGCATATACAAGCATATTCACATCTCAGAGGGAAAGAAGAGATAGAAGTGAAGTAAAGTCAGCGAGTTTTGAATAAACAATAAAATTAAGGAGCTATTACAAAATGGAAACAAATTACATTGTAAATATGATTAGAATGCCAGCATACAACAAAGGAAAAGCTTTGATTCTTCTAATACATTCAATTATTCTGCAGGATATAATAAATTAATAAAGGAGAAAAATAAACACAGCTTCACATGCACAAAACTAAAATGTACACATTAGTTTAGCATTATTCCGCACATACTCGTAGGCTATACTCCACACGGAACGAGATCCAACCCTCTACAACTTCCAAATAAAAGTCAACCATGAATCATGAGGTACTATTCATAATTGATCTTTTGAGGAAAAAAAAAAAGAAATCATTGCCTGCTATCTTAAATGAAGCTGCATGCATAACCAGTTATGCACTTACAGTAGAATCACTGTCCCTCTCTTAAAGGTAACTTTTTTTCATGCTTTGCACTATTAATGACATAATACTGTTTTTCTTTTTTTCTTTTTTTTTATTTTAACTTGTAAGGTGTCTAAGTTAATAACAAATACTCTAGCTTTTCCCCATTATTTTGTACATATTATATGGCACTACATATTTATTGTTAATTCTATTGTGCCTTTGTTTCATTTTAATTGAAGAAGTCAAATTTAGGTAAAAGTATCCCGTACATCCATGCTACATATGTTCCGCATTTTTCGTTCGAAAAGGAAACAAGTAAAATTTCATAATAAAGAATAAATGTGAGTATGAATGATCAACAAGATATTTCAGAAAATTTATTGTAATTAAAGTTTTGTCACTTCTTAATCAGGAACCATCAGAGAACCTGAGTGGACTTGCAGTAACTTACAGAGTTCCAGCTTTTTAAACTTAACCGGACAACAAATTGAGACACAGTGATCATGAATGTTAAAGGCGCACATGTCAGACCCTGCTCAACTTATCTAAATAGGGATCTAAACACAAACTAGCAATCTGAACAGCGGCAACTTTATTCAGAATATTCAAAAATGTCCCACCCCTGTCAGAACATTGTTCAGCCATCAACAAGAGACAACGTCAAATAACTGACATTAATACGAAGAGGCTGAAAATAAAACCTAGAGCTTTGAACATATGTGGAACTTCAGTCAAAGATCAACAGGAAAAGCTTTACATCACTGAAATAATACAACAAGCTGGAAACATAACCTGTCTTGAAAGAATCCCAAGCATGGTTTCCCTATGATCTTCCATTGAAACATGTGCGGTGCCAAAACAAGAAGCAGCCCTCGCAAGTTGAAGAGCCTCACTTTGATTCTCAATCCCATATTTGCAACAATCTTCTGCCAACTTTCTAGCTGCCACATTCGTGTTCACATATCATTCTATGAATAGAATAAAAAATGACTCTTAAAAAATTAGACCACTCACTTGTATTCATCTGTTTCTTGCTTGTCGAAATTAATCCTTCCAAGCTACGAACAATGTCTCTTTGAAAATGCTGTAAAGCATAGTAGTTTCAAATAGTTAACCAAGGTCCTTAAATTGTAAATGGAAGAAACACAGAAGGAGAAGAAAGCTCCACGGTTTACCTTAGCTGCTCTTGTAGATTTGTACAAGTTTTCAAGCTGTTGATAAGACTCCACTTCTGTGTCATCAATCATTACTGCCTCATGGCCCAGCTGTCCCAGTTGTCTCAAAATTGTCTGCCATAAAGTAAGTGGTATGAGTACAACACCCTTGGAAAACACATCTTCCAGAACAAACCTTGGAAACATATCCTAATTGGATCCACAAAATATTAGACATCCAACAAGGATGAAAATCTGGGCAATGCAGGCTATTAAATGATATGAGAATACAAGTTGTAGCAAAACTGCATTTCTGATATGAGAATACAAGTTCTAGCTATATGGCATTTCTATTTATACAGGGAAAAAAAGAAAAAGTAGTTCTTTTCTGTTCTAGTTACATTTTTGCAAGCCCTCTTTGAGATGATCAAGTTTGGTTCCCTTTACCATCATGATTGGTTTTCTCTAACTTCCAGCTAAACATAGAGAGTAGAATTCATTTGAGCAGGCGATAACAAATTTCATGTACAATAAACAATGGGAAGAACAGGCTTACAGCCACTCAGGAGTTGAACTACTACACTACATGCAAAAGTTATTAAATATACCGTGTACGATGATGGTAAGTGCACCAAATTAGATGATAAAATGAGATACTTAGTGCACCCAAATAAGACAACTTTAGATGCACCAGCATGGAAACAAATACAGCAATGGGAAAAGATCTAAAAACTAGGGAAAAAACTACAACAACTGAGATAAAAACGTTGTTGATATGATGATGATGATTAATGCATGTCCCACATACAGATGAAAGCTCATTTGCTTGTATGTAACTTGTTAGTTGGAAATATAATTTTGAAAAATTGAACAAAGTACTTAAGAATTTTTAGATACAATCTATCGTAAAAGCAATCGACAAAGAAAACTCAAACAAAGTGAAAATACGTCAAAATATAAAAATGTTAATTGTCTTCCACAGAATTTTAGCGGTATTAAAAAGATAATAGAATACACATATGGTTACATGAGGTACTTGTCATGAGGTTGTTTTTCCTCTCAAAAGGGAACTCATAACGGAACCAACATAAGGTCAAAGAGCGGCTGGCACAAAGGTGTCACGGAACCTAAGCCACGTGGATCCAGAATCGAGATTCATCGACTACAGAATGCAGTTACCTAGTCCTTTGGCTATTTATGTTGAAGTGAACAAGTGATTTTTTGTTTTTATACGAATAAGGAAATGATAATAATACAAACTAGAAATCATTCAACAGTATATGGTTTCTGCGAAAAAAAAGTATCTGATAGATAAGACTAGAAAGGGGATAAGACTAGAAAGGGGACAAACGTCAGGTTATAAGATTGGAGGAGGCTTTAGAATATAAAGGTATTATCATAAGAAGAGTTAAAAAAATGCACATGCAAAATGTTATTGAGTGATCATAGAAGTGACAGTATAGTAGAAATGGAAAGAAAAAAAAACCAGGGAATAATCACTGATAAAATTTAAACAAACCGGAACGAGGGGTTCTTTATGACCTCCATATTAGGCCAGCATAAATTATCGTCAAAATTGAAAGGGAAACTTTTTTCTTTTGGTGAAACTTTAAGAATTAGCCATAAAACATCCTTAACTGATCATCATCGACCATGGCATTGAGCCATTAATTGTGGAAAAGAACAACTATTATAGTAAAAGAAATGAACAGTTGATATTGATGTGAACCAGTGAAGGAAGAGCAGATTACATATAGAAATAATAACAATTACATTAGAGTTTCTTTACTTTTTCCCGTAAATAGGAGTTAACACCTAATTGTATAATAGCGAGATAATCATGTTTATGCTTAAAAAATTGAGCTTAGAAGGTCTTTAATTGCAACATAAGACGAGAATCATTTGAATGCAGTCAAATACCAAAGATGAATTTAAGATATTGAATTTTTGAATAAAAAACTGAATTCCTAAAGAGCTCAAGGGTGACATACACATAATCCATAGAGTTAACAACAGGGAGATTAGGTGCTTAATTGCTACAGTACTCATTAAACCACTAAGACATCACATGTTATCTAGCAATGTTGTAGCTGCCAGGAAAATATAAAAGCATAATCAAATTAACATTTCAAAACCAAGATCAATATTTAACTTGGTAAACCATGCAAAGGAAACTATTTGCTAACAGTCAAGTAGAAATCCATAAAGATAAGTTAGAAAACAAAATATTAATTAAAAAAATCATGACAAAAGTTTCTTTTGTAATTCATCAAAGTACTCAATGGGAAAACTTACAGAAATGTAAATGCCTGGAAAGTTGATAAAATGTCCGAAAATGCAGAGAACAGCTATGGGTATCTTTATGATTTGTTTGCCTTCCAAACACTAGCCACCACATAGACTCAACTTTCCAACTAAGGCTATCTTTGTCTCTTTCCCCCTAAAGGCCACAACCACCCTTTTCCAAAAGAGTATTGCTCAACTGATGGGGATAAACATTTCAAACCTCAAGAGCGGAAAAAGGGTCTTGAAAAAGCATTCTTTTACACATGAAAGAAAGAGAGAAAGAGTAGAAGTCCTAAAACTCAGGTTCATGTACCACAGAAGAATTTGACTGAATGACCATTAAGAAGCTGGAAGCACCGCAGTTGAATCGGAAACGAGAGTTAACACATCTATTACTGTACCCGCCCAAACTTTAAAAAGAAAGACAGACGAAAACAACAATTTAAAACGTTGCACAAATTCTCATCCCTTTCCAGCGAGATTTCGAGTAATTCCAACAGCTCAGAAAACCAAAAAGAAATAAAGAATACCTGTTGCTGCTTAGCAACTTGTTCTCGTAATTTACTTGCTTGCTTCTTTATCGCCTCCATTAGCAACCTCGGCCCCCCAACTGAATTTTCAGCAAGGATAACACAGTTTCCCAGTTGGTAGATGTTTTTGTTATGTGGATTGGAAGAAAGGGAAAACAGAAATTAAAGCAAAGGAACTCGTAATAGTAGGAAAGAAGAAGAAAAGGGCCTTTTTCGGGAGATGTTTAGGAGGAAGGCCCCTCCAAATTCCTCAAAACTGTTCCAGTTAAGTTTATCAGTTGATTGTTCATAGTCTTATTGAAAAACTTGGAATTAAAAAGGTGTCCGAACCTCTAAGCATTATGGACTGAATATTTAATCAAAAGCGAAAAAGGTTTCCCCGCTTTCGGACGAGACAACCGGAAAATCGTTAAAAGTCCGCGGTGGTGGTGGTGGGTCTGACTCTTCTAAAAGATCTTCTATTTTTGTTTAGTTGTGGGTGTTAGTTTTTGAAGTCACTATCTTTACTACTTGAAGCCACCATAAATTTTTTTGGACCATTTTGCCCTTTACATTTTAAACTTCCACCAAAGGAAAAAAGAGAGAAAACTTGAAACCACCACCCTTCTAAATCCCATTTTGAAGTCTAATTTGGTGAAAAATTGATGGCAACACGGAAGAATCAAAGCGGGAAAGAGCCGATCTCATCACGGATACGTTTTTTCAAAAAACTTTGTAAATTGAAGAAAAAAAAATTGGAATCGGCGCGGACGGCAATGAAGCCGTCCGGTGGCGCGGAGCAGGACGCGAGCAACGCGTCCCGGTTCAACTTCGAACGAGCAAAGCGCCTGTTCCGGGTTGAACCGGGACGCGTTGCTTGCGCGTCCCGGTCGCGCCGCCGGACTGGTTATTTTTTTTTTTTTTTTAAATGTTGTAAGACCGCCGGACGGGCAATGAAGCCGTCCGGCGGCCAGATTGCAATTTTTTTTTTATTTGTTTAATTACAATGTAATTATGTTTTAATTATGTTTGATTTAATGTAATTAGGGTTAGTAAGTAATTTTTTATTATTTAATATTCTGTGATTTAGATTGGTTACTTAATTTAATTGTGTAAATAATTTAATTTGATTAATAATAGATTAGTTCATTAATTAGTTTGATTGATGTACTTATTAATTTAAATAGTTATTAAAGTATTTAGGTTATATTTTTAACTAAGTTATTAGTTGATTAGTAAAGTTAATCATTTGAATTGATTAAATTAATTTAAATATTATGTAAATTAGTTGAATGAGAAAACTAATTTAATTAATAGTAGATTAGTTGAGTACCATATTAGTTTAATTGATTTACTCATTATTTTAATTAGTTATGAAAGCAATTAGGTTATATTTTTAATTTAATTATTAGTAGATTAGTAAAGTTACTCATTTTGATTGATTAAATAAATTTAAATAGTATGTAAATTAGTGATACTAGTGATCTTGAAGTAGTAATAGTAATAGTAGATTAGTAATTTAATTTAAATTGTGTGTAAAGTAGTTAATGATTAATTAAATTAATATATTTTTAATTAATTAAATAGTAATTTAATTTAAAATTTGGTAAAGTACTTTAGTTTACTTAATTATTATATGAATTGTACTAAATTATTAAACTATTTAGGATTTAGGATATGCGTATAATTATTTGTTTAGACTATGAAAATATGATGACGATGAATAAAATTTTATTTATAGGTTTATGGTGATGATGATGATAATAGTGATACTAGTGATACTGAAGATAGTAGTAAGCGTAAGGTTCGTGCGCGTCATCTGACCATGAGTCGTCGAAAGAAAAAGAGGAAAAGAGAAAAGAAGCGAATGAGAATGACTCAGTCACTATGGGGTGTACTGCTTGGACTCGGTCTAGTCACCGATTAATATACCCGAGTATTCGAGGACGACGGAAGAGGGGGATGAGGATGATGAGGATGAGTTTGATGAGGATGATGTGCAGGACAGTGTTAGGATGGGTGCACATCACAGAGATACGCCTGTGTACAATCTTAGTAGTTACCCTCCTCCTCGGTATTCCAGTTTTCCCCGGCCTGGTCCTCGCGGTTTACCCTCTCCCCCTACCCCTATCCCTTCTCCTAAGAGTGGTGAGTGGCGCAGTCCATATCATAGTCCCTCTTTCCCGCATCTGGGTATATCCGGTAGTCAGCCTCGTCCCCCCCCTGCTCAGGCATCTCCCCCCTACATTGATCCCGTGCCCCCTCGCGGAGGTCCCGTCTCCGCTCGAGTATCTACACGTCCTCCACCTCTCATTGATCCCGTGGGCCCTAGCCGAGGTCCCGGATCCACTGGAGTATCTCCACGTCCAGTTACCACTACTGCATCATCAGGTACCAAATATCTATATTTAATATTCTGTAATTATGTTTAATTAATTATTGTTACTTATATTTACGATTAATTGTTGTATGTACAAAATGTAATAAGCTTACTCATTCATGGTACAGGCGGCAGCAGCCAGTCGAGAGTTTCTGATGACATTGATCCGACTACATGGCTAGTGACAGATGAAGTACCTGGTGGGCCGATAGATGGTAGCGTGATTCCTAGCTTCCTTGGGCATATTGCTTATCATTTCTGGCATGGATACAATAGACCCACATTGAAGATTTTTAAAGGCGAAAAGATTCTGAATAAGTTGAAGATGTGGTATAAAGATATGGATGATGATGTGAGAGACAAGATTCGGGGGACTGGATTGGGTCACCTTCTTCGTACCTCGTATGAAGATATTGATCTTGGCTTAGTTCAGGCATTTGTTGAGAGGTGGCAGCCGGACACCAATTCATTTCATTTCCCGTTTGGGGAGATGACCATCATGATGCATGATGTTTATCATATTTTGGGCATTGAGGTCGATGGAGAGTTGGTGACAGGTACGTCCGACACAGATTTGTTGAGGGGACATGCAGCAGGGATACTTGGCATGGATATGAATGATTACAAGTGGAGTCATGGCGGTGTCTCTGATTCGTTCATCCTTGAGCGATGCGAGAAAGCGGATGCGAATACCCAGGCCAGTGCTTTCTTGTGGGTATTGTTGGCCTCGACGTTGTTCATGAGCAAGAGTGGTGGGAGGTGCAGTGTTGCACTTGTACATGAGCTGATGGCTGGGATCGAGAATATGGGTTCATACTCGTGGGGCTCTGCTATGCTTGCGTTCCTATACCGTCAGTTAGGGATGGCTAGTAGGGCAATGTGCACTCAGTTAGGTGGTTATTTGACCCTACTGCAGGCCTGGATATATGAGTACTTTCCAATTTTCCGCCCCCAGGGAGGGCGAGTTGCCCGTGCGGGTAATGACAGGCCCAGAGTACATGACTGGATACCACCATCTTTTGCGGGGCCGACATCTGTGTTAGATCGTCTTCGTCAGGTTAGGGAGCGTCTCGACTGTTTCACCGAGTTAGAGGTACTTGATTGCTTCATTTGACTGTATTTCATTTTATTTTTTGAAAATTATATTTACAAATAATCTAAATGCTATTTTGCAGGTTAAGTGGGAGCCATTTGGACTTGGACAACAAGGAATAGTTCCTAGGACTATCTATAGTGGGTGGATAATGTATAGGAACATACAGGAGCCATACATGCCGGACAGATGTATACGTCAGATTGGCTACGTACAGAGCATTCCTCGTTCGCCCATGTCCCCTGATGATGCATTCCGAGGACCCAGGACTACACAGTACTTTGTACAGCATTCTTCTGTTGACACACTCAATACTTGGAGGAGATTCCCAGAGTCAGCGTGTCTTAATTTGACCAGATGGTGATACAATTATAGCGGTGACATCGTAGGAGAGTGTGAGGATGGCTACCTTGAATGGTACAGGCAGCATTCACATCCATTTTTGTTGCCGACAACTGACCCATCTGCAGTCTCTACACCAGCTAAGAGCAGTCAGGATTATGTAAGTTGTATTTATTTTTTTTGAGTTTTCGTAGATATACATTTCTATATTATAAATAGGTTTAACCTTTTTTGGATTTTGTGATTTCAGTGGATGAATGAATTGAGGAAGCTGACCAAGGACCTGATTAGAAAGGTCAAAGTGTCCGATCGCGACCTGGCCGACGAGTATGATGAGAAGCTGCAGGATACGATGATCCGTTATTATAAGGCCCCATGATCATTGACATTGTTGGACTATTTGACTGGATTTGTTTATTTTTCTCTTTCTTGGACTGCATTTTTTTTTTTTTTATGGTATGATGGGATTATGAACACTTGATAAGTTAGCTTATTTGGTGTCCGTGTGGTAAGTTTTTTTCTTTATGGCCAACAAGGTTTGTTATTGCACAAATCATAAAAAATAAACAAATCAGCTACTAGATAATATCATTATCATCATCTAAGAAACTAAGATCAATGAAATTATTTTGAAAATTCACGGGACGCCTAGGATTGTTAGGGACCAACCTATACCAATCTTGAATTCTAGGAAGAAGTGGTAATTCCCAACCAGTAACGCTAGGCTGATGTTCCTTAGTCCACCGATTATTGATTGGTGGAACTGGAAAGTCACCGTCCAAATTGATCCGAATGAAGTGCTTGTAAAGACCATGGTGACATACCCCAATCTCAAATGCCGGACATGTTACCTCACCGCGTGCAGTGACAGGTAGTACAGTCCAACATGATGAGTTTAGCGACTGGTTCTCTTCCCCTGCACTGTAATAGTACACAATTGCATTGTTCATAGTCGCAACTACGAACAAGTCCGTCACACACATCCAATGGCGGTCAGGTGCGAAATCTTGTCCACTCCACCGTATACGACGGACTTCTTCCTGTAAGGACGTCCTGCATTTACATATACAATTATTTGTACAAAATACTGCCAAGTTCAGCAAACATCATAACATAGAGAATGAAAAGTATTTATACCCGTAGATTCTAGTGTATAGATGCCAATTCTGTTCTAGCTCGTTTGCCATTGCCTCTCTTGCCATCGGCCACTTCTCCTGGCTCAAAAACATATTACTCGCGACTACGCGAAATCCACAATTGCCATGGGCACCAACATCAAGGTAACTGGTAATATATGGCCGAATGGGCCATGGAATGAGGTCGTAGCAACCATACTGTGAAATATCATTCGCAAAGATATCTGTACATTACACGGAAACAATGTTATTTAGAACAATTGATAATAAATAAAGAATATTATGAACAATTACTTATTAACATGTACCTGTGGATGCATCTGTACGACCACCTGAAGACGAGGGGCGCTTCTTACTTGAATCGCTAGTAACTGTGGTCGACTTTCCTTGTGCCTCGTCCCTGTAATCCCACACATTAGGAGTTGCTTTTTTCTGTGGGGATTGTTCATGGGCAACAGGGTTGGCCTCTGTTTTTTTCTTTGATTTAGCCCCCTTAGGCCGCCCCTTCCTTCTCTTGACCTCCTCGGGTTGTTTGAACCCACACTGTTCTGGATGCATAATATCGTGGAGAACCCTATTGTCACGGGCTTACTTTTTCAAAGTAACGGCCGTGCGGCACTAGCACAAAACAACTAACGATCAAGTGCTAGCTCAGCCTTAAGACCCCCAAAGCGTGCAAAGCTAGGCGAGACTTTAAAGAACGGAGGCAAAGAAAAACTTAAGAAAGGTTGAAAGTGAAAGAACGATGAAGGCACAAGAGAGCTTAAGGAATGCTTGAGAACTCTACTCAAAGCTTGGATGATTACAAATGAAGGGGGGCATGGGGTATTTATAGGCAAACCCCCAAGTCCTAAAGAATTCTAGAGAATTCTATGTACATAATAAAATAATGGGATTCTAGAGAATTCCTACAATAAAATATTCTAAGTTCAAAATATCTACAAGTCTCTAGAATCTTCCACACGGTTCTAGCAAACTCGGGTAGCTTCCACACGGTTCCACTCGTTTCTAGAGAGTTCCGGGCTTCTCTAGAAAATTCCAGAGTCTTCAAGATTTGACTGGAGAATTCCACAAGGTTCTAGACCGTTCCGTCCCATGTCCGTCTACGAAAATAGCCCGTTTCGCATCAAACCACCCGAATTCGTGGTGAAGAAAAACTGTCCGTGACATCCTCCCCCACCAAAATGGTGCATCGCCCCGATGCACCTAAGTCTCGAAGGCAATGTTGATAGGAATGGGTGCACGATTCTCCTCAAAGTCCTCGATCAATTTGGTGAATTGCCAAAGCTTCTCGATTGGCTCCCAACTCGTCTCACTCATTGGCAAATTCTTCCATTTCACCAAGTATTCTTTAGTTGCTGCCCCGCTCCTGCCCCGAACGATCCTCTTAGAAAGGATCTCCTCTGCGGTCCGTTCCTCATGCTCGCGTACGCCAGCTGGTGCCCTTGTGGAAACGTTCCGTTCTTCGTCCTCTGGGTCCTTGCGGTATGGCTTAAGTAGGCTCACATGAAAGACTGGATGAAGCCTTGAGAAGGCCTCGGGTAGCTCCAGCTTGTAAGCAACCGAACCCACTTTCTTAAGAACGGTGAAAGGACCCTCGTATCTGCGCATGAGACCCTTGTGTAGACCACGGCTCCGTCCATGTTCATAAAGCTTCACCAAGACTTGGTCGCCTTCTTCAAACCCGCGACGGGTCCGTTTCTTATCTGCCCATTTCTTCATGCGTGCGGCCGACTTCTCCAAGTAGAGTTTTGCCTCGTCGGCCCGTTCTTGCCAATCTTTGGCAAACTTGTATGCGGGTGGGCTATTGCCTTTATAGCCTCCAAGAATGTCCTTAGGCGTAGTTGGTTGGAAACCAAGGACAATCTCAAACGGACTTTTGCCCGTGCTCTCACTCCGCATCAAGTTATAGGAAAATTGGGCAACGTCTAGCAAACGTACCCAATCTTTCTGGTTGGCTGCCACATAGTGCCTAAGGTACACCTCCAAGAGGCCGTTGATGCGCTCCGTCTGCCCATCCGTTTGCGGGTGCAAAGATGTAGACATCTTGAGCTCCGTCCCAAGCAAACGAAAGAGTTCTTGCCAAAAACGGCCGGTGAACCTTGAGTCCCTGTCGCTTATGATCGATGTAGGCAGTCCCCAATACTTCACCACATGCCTAAGAAAGAGTTTGGCCGTTATCTCCGCGGGGCACTCTTTTGGAGCGGGTATGAAGACCGCATACTTAGACAAACGGTCTACCACAACAAGTATGTTGGTGCAACCCTCGGAAACGGGCAGGCTCACGATGAAATCCATCGAAACGCTGTCCCACGGGCGTTCTGGAATAGGCAAGGGTGATAACAAGCCATGCGGGTGGTCTTGCTCGGTCTTGTCTTGTTGGCAAACTAGACAAGTCCTTACATATGTCTCCACGTCTTCCCGCATGCGAGGCCAATAGAACCGTTCATGTACTAAGGCAAGTGTGCGATGCGTACCTGGGTGACCCGCATAACGGCTATCATGGCAATCCCTTAGAATCTCCCTTCTAAGTCCATCCCATGCAGGCACGTACAAACGGTTCCCTTTGGCATAAAGTATCCCATCCTCAAGCCAGAACCGCGTTGTCTTGCCTTCCTTCACGAGCTCCATGAACCTTTGGGCTTGACGGTCGTGCTCAAGACCCTTCTTAATGCGATCAACCAGCGTTCCCTCGGGTATGCTAACGATTGGAGCAAGACACGCCTTTCGGCTTAGGGCGTCGGCCACGTGGTTAGTCTTCCCCCGGGCTATACTCAAGCTCGTATTTAAACTCGGCCAAGAAGTCCAACCAACGCGCTTGCTTGCTTGAAAGCTTAGGTTGGCTTTGATGGTAGCTCACTGCCCGATTGTCCGTCTTGATCTTGAACGGTGTAGCGGCCTTCAAGTAATGCTCCCAAACTCTAAGGCAGTGAACTATAGCCAACATCTCCTTCTCGTGCGTCGGCCACCTTTTCTCGGTCTCATTCAGCTTGCGACTTTCAAAGGCGATCGGATGACCATCTTGCATGAGAACGCCCCCAATGGCGAAGTCCGAAGCGTCCGTGCACACCTCGAACGGTTTCTCAAAATCGGGAGAGCTAGGACTGCTCTCGAGTGACGGTGTCCTTTAAAGCCTCGAACGCTGTTTGGTGTTTTGGTGTCCAACACCAAGCTTGCCCCTTTTTCAAGAGATCCGTTAGTGGAGCGGCTATAGCGGAGTGCCCTTCAATAAACCGCCTATAGTAATTAACAAGCCCCAAGAACGATCTCAGCTCCGTTGGCTTCGTGGGTGCCTCCCACTCCACGATAGCTTTGATTTTGGCCGGATCCATGCGGATTTTGCCCCTACCAATGATGTGTCCCAAGAACGACACCTCCTCAAGGCCGAAGGAACACTTCTCCTTTTAACATAGAGCTGGTTTTCCTAAGGACTTGAAAACGGCTCTAAGATGCTCCACATGCTCCTTCATTGTGTTACTATAGATAACGATGTCGTCCAAGTATACTACAACGAACTTATCAATGAAATCCGCTAGCACACGTTGCATCAAAGTGCAAAACGTGGCTGGGGCGTTAGTTAAACCGAACGGCATAACAAGAAACTCATAAGAGCCATACCTCGTCACCATGGCCGTTTTCAGTTCATCACCGGGTGCTATGCGTACTTGGTAGTATCCCTTCCGTAAGTCCAGCTTGGAAAAGATCCGTGCCCGTTGTAGCCGGTCAAACAAATCCGCTATAAGTGGGATAGGGTACTTGTTCTTTACGGTTAGCTTGTTTAACGCCCGATAGTCGATGCACAAACGTAGCGTCCCATCTTTCTTGCGTTGGAACAAGGCTGGCGAACCCCACGGACTTTTAGACGGCCTTGCATGACCCGATTCAACTAGCTCCTTGATTTGCACCTTGAGCTCCTCTAGCTCGCTAGGGGACATACGATAAGGCACCTTGGCTATCGGTTTCGCCCCGTCCACCAACTCGATGGCATGATCAACCTCCCTCCTTGGTGGAAGACCTTTGGGCAAATCATCGGGCATCACGTCCTTGAACTCAACAAGGACTCGTTCTATGGGAGACGGGATTCGTTCCTCCTTTGCCGGCTCCTCTGTGCATGGTTCCTCCTCAAACACCATGGCGGCAAAGGTGTGTTCACCCTGTTTTAGCCCCTTGTTCAGCTGGGAAGGGCTAATCTCATTTTCCCGTCTAAACTTTACCACACAAGGCTTCTCGCCTTGGAGGATCACCATCGTGTCATTGCTAGGCACAATGATCGGCTTTACCTGGTCTAAAAACTCCATGCCAAACACAAGACCATAATCATCCATAGGTGCAATGGAGAAATTAGCCGTACCTAACCAGTTGCCGATTTTAAGAGGCACATCCCTGGCTTCGCCTACAAGACCCGTCCATTCGCCGTTCACGCCCTTGAAACGGCCTTTGCTAGGTGTCCACTTGACGCCAAGCGAACGGGCTACCTCTTCCGTGAGATAACTCGTGTCGGCCCCCGTGTCTAGCATGCCCCATCTAGACCCGTTTGCAAACGATGCCTCCATGTAAAGACGGCCTTGACGTGTCTCGGCCTTGGCATGCACGGCGTCTAGCCGTTTCATGCAAGCGACCCGTTTCTCCTCTTCTTGGCACAAACCTTGTGCCAATGCTGCCAACTTCGAACGAGACAGGCAATCACGTACCATGTGCGCTCCCCCGCACAAAAAGCACCCTTGAAACTTCTTTGGCTTGTCCCCCTTGGTCTCCTTGCTCGAAGACGGCTTTGTATAGTCGGCTGCCGGTTTGTGGGTGTGGAAGACTTCCCTTTGTCTCCCCACCTTTGCCTTGGAACGGCTTCTTGCCCTTGTCCTTGGAGCTATCCTTCTTTGGAACTCAACAAGCGACTCGGCCACCTTTAACGCCCGATCGATGTCCTGGACTTCTCTCCGTTGTAGCTCAAGTTTGGCCCAACGGTTGAGACCGTCCATGAAAGTAAAGAATGCCTCCTTGGGTGAGAGATCCGGAATTTCAAGCATCAAGTCCGAAAATTCCTTAACGTATTCCCGGATTTGGCCTTCCTATGGTGCGACGACGAAGCTTGGCCCGGCTTCGTCTTCCGCATCCACGGGTAGGAAATACTTTCTAAACTCTTCCTTAAAACTATCCCACGTGGTGAAGACCGGCTCTCCATCCCCCACGGGTTTCATCATACGTTTCCACCATGATAAAGCACTATCTTTAAGATAAAGAGAGGCTTGGAAGAGTCTTACCGAGTCGTCCATGATATTCATAGCCCCAAAGTACCGTTCCATGCTGTAGAGAAAGTTCTCTACGTCCCTCAAGCGACGGCTGCCCCTATATTCGTCCGGCTTGGGCGCCTCAAGCCTTGGAACCGTCCCCACGGCTCCGGTTGTCCCTTGCACGGCCACGGCGTCAAGCCGTGCCTTAAGACGCGCCGATTCTGCCCGAGAAGTCTCCAGCTCCCCCATAAGCCGGTTCACGTCGTCTTGGAGGGCGGCAACACGAGCAAGGCTTTCCTCCTTCGACTTGTTGCAACGTTCCACCATTTCGTTGAGCGTCCCTAGCATGTCGTCCTTCATTTGCTGCATGACCTCTTGCAATTCCCCTGCGAATCGCTCCATGCGAGCTTCGACGACCCCGCTACCACCTCGGGTGCTCGTCCCAACGGTCTTGGTGGTCGGCCACAGCAAGCTCTAGCTTGGCAAGCCGTTTCTCGAATTCCACCATCGGCTCTCTAACGACCGACTTCTCCTTGCGGCTTCCTTTGCGGGTGGTCCTCCCCACCTCACGGGAAACGTGATCCCCCTCAAGCTTCGACCCTTGAACAACCTCTGAAGGGTTAGACATAGCTTATGCACGAAAGAAAACCAACAAACGGAAGCGTAGACGATGTAGCACACCAAGTATCGAGCCGAGGCTCTGATACCAACTGTCACGGGCTTACTTTTTCAAAGTAACGGCCGTGCGGCACTAGCACAAAACAACTAACGATCAAGTGCTAGCTCAGCCTTAAGACCCCCAAAGCGTGCAAAGCTAGGCGAGACTTTAAAGAACGGAGGCAAAGAAAAACTTAAGAAAGGTTGAAAGTGAAAGAACGATGAAGGCACAAGAGAGCTTAAGGAATGCTTGAGAACTCTACTCAAAGCTTGGATGATTACAAATGAAGGGGGGCATGGGGTATTTATAGGCAAACCCCAAGTCCTAAAGAATTCTAGAGAATTCTATGTACATAATAAAATAATGGGATTCTAGAGAATTCCTACAATAAAATATTCTAAGTTCAAAATATCTACAAGTCTCTAGAATCTTCCACACGGTTCTAGCAAACTCGGGTAGCTTCCACACGGTTCCACTCGTTTCTAGAGAGTTCCGGGCTTCTCTAGAAAATTCCAGAGTCTTCAAGATTTGACTGGAGAATTCCACAAGGTTCTAGACCGTTCCGTCCCATGTCCGTCTACGAAAATAGCCCGTTTCGCATCAAACCGCCCGAATTCGTGGTGAAGAAAAACTGTCCGTGACACCTATTTACAGTACGTCGTACTGCCTTAGGACACTCGTTCAGCTCTTCCATCAACTGTCTGGTATAAAGGACCTCGTCATCCACATCGGTAGGAGCACTCGTACCAGCCTGTTCACCGATATTAAGGGTCGCCCAAAATGGGTGAATATGCTTAAGAGTTATCGATGTGCCGGCATCTGCAGCCTTTTTGAGGGCGCACGCACATGGAATTCGACAAGTCCAGTACACCACATGATCGCATCGGTCATTGGTTTCTTCTTTCCACTCTTGCACCTTCGACCACTCAGTGTTCAGCTTTTGGAAACAAGTATGTGAAACTTGAAACTTCAAGCGGTTCAGTGGAAAATCGCAATAATGGGTGCCAATTTTCTGTCTCGAGTACTCCAATTTGTACCTGAATGTAGCCAATTACTGTAAAACATTCTACGTAAAATGCCATAAAAACAAAATAATTACTAAATATATTATAATAAATATAACTTCTAATATAATGGAATAGAACTTACCGTATTTCGGTTAGCTGACTCTGAATTTCCAAGTGCACCTTAGCCCAAAGTGTATCCAGGGACGCCGTGGATGTTTCCAGCCAGGTTTTTAACTGCTTGTGCGCGCTCTCCACCCTACCTGTAGTAGTGTTGCCCATATGAAACACAGCATTCGTCCATGCCTTGACGAATTTGTAGTCAACCACTAGCCATGTCTTCTGGATATAAGTAAGAACTCTCGGAAAAGACTGCCAACGACGGTTTATTACGGCAACAGCTTTATTGTACTCATCTTGGTTATTAGCTTCCACAACATCTTTCCACAACCCATATGTAAAGCCATTTGCAATCTTGGCATCAATTTTCAATTCCTTGTTGAGATGTCGCTTTACATTCTCATAAACGTGCCAAAAACACAACAAGTGGCATGAATCTGGAAATACCATACCCAGCGGCGCCATCAACCCCGGTTCCCGATCAGTAACAATAACAGCTGGAGAAAGATGACGAGGTAGCAAATCCCTTAACTGTCTCAAAGCCCAATAATAACTATCAGCAGTCTCGTCACTCAAGAGGGCGTATGCAATCAGGAAGTTCTGGTTGCACGGTGTCATCCCAATAAACTCAACCAACGGCATTTTGTACTTGTTCGTCTTGTATGTTGAGTCTATCCCGACGACCCATAAATAACTGCAAAATAAATTGACAGCATCAGGATGTGCAAAAAATACACGAGTCAGCACACCTGTCTCCTAATTGCAATCTGTCATGATGATGTAACCATGATGCTTGGCCACCGCTAGTGTCTTCGTTGCGACATCCATGGCACTCGATTCACCCAACACCGGGAATCCCTCATTACGCAATTTCTTCCTGAAATTGTACACTTGCCGTCTGTTAACTTTTTCATCAGGAAAGATCCTCTGAATCGCAGTCATGATCTGACACGGTCTGCACCCATCTTTGGACATACCCTGTATAAGCTGTTTCACTCCATCGCTAAGGCCCCTCGTGGGATGATCTTCGTCAAACAGCTCGTGGTTATGCATTCCAAACTCACCAGGATACACCCGAATGCGCCACTTCCCATCCACTGGGTGCACATATAACTTAAATTTACACCCAGTGTTCTGTGTCTTCGAATCTGATGTGACATAGTATTCACCATCATCAACTGATACCTTTCCCCCTTTACAGCATCTCATCAGAATAGCATTCTTCTTCTTACTAGAAACTACATTTATAATCATACCATTTGCCATGCCCATGCCTTTCACCCAAGCAACAGCATCATCCTTGTTTGCAAATTCCTCATCTGTAGCAAATAATATGCTGTAATTTTGACCACCGCCACCAAAATCTTCTAAAGAATCCTGCAAATTAAACATAAAATTATAACAATAAAAAACTGCATCATAATAAATTAAATTAAACACATATTTCAATAATTTAAAAAAGTTAAACAATTATAATAAATAATAAAAAAACCTATATTTACAGTAAATAGATTAATTATTTACTAAATTAAATTTCCCAATACCTACCTAATAAATATTAGCGATTAATTAAATAGATTAATTATTTACTAAATTAAATACTTATTCCACAAAATTCTTTAATTATTTAATTATTTCCCCCTAAATAAATATTATCTCTAATTAATTAAATCTAAATAGATAAATAAAATTCAACTAATTACATTACTTAACATAAATAATTAATTTAAGATATACAATAATAATATTCTTACTTAATTAAATTAACAAAACATGCAATAAATAAAAATATAATTCAACTAATTAATTTACTTAACATAACTAATTAAATTTAATTAACATAACATGCAATAAATAAATATAATTAAACTAATTCAATTACTTAACATAACTAATTAAATTACAAAATAAATTAACATAATAACATGCATGAAATTAAAATTATTAAAAAAAATAAAAAAAATAAATAAAAAAAACCGGGTTGAACCGGGAACGCGCAACACACGCGTCCCGGTTCAACCGGGGACGCGCAATATACACGTTCGGTTCAATGGCCGAACGCGTATATTGCGCGTCCCCGGTTGAACCGGGACGCGTGTTGTACCCGTCCGGCCAATGGATTGAACGCGCGTATTGCTCGTTCACGGTTCAACCGGGGCGCGTATATTGCGCGTCCGGTTCGATTTCACCCGGTCCGGCCGTGCAATATACGCGTCCCGGTTGAACCGGGGCGCGTTTTCTTGCGCGTCCCGTTCAATGGCCGGACGCGTTTCTTGCGCGTCCCCGGTTCAAGCGGGACGTTTTTTTGACCGGTTCGGTTATTTTTAAATATTTTTTTTTTTTACCTCTGAATTAGTCATTTTCTTTCTCTCTCTACTGGCAGGGGCAAAATCGTCAACAATTTTTTGAGGTGGCTTTGAGTACTAATTTTGTTGGCTACAAAAATCCCCCCCCTTTGTTTACACTAACACTAATTAAAATAACTGACACATTGTTTGGCCAACCTTCCATTTTACATTTTATCTCATTTTACCTCTTAAACACAAAACCTAATGGAAAAGAAAACATCATCCAAATAACGGTCTGATTTATATTTTAAATTCCAACTTGAAACATTTTTTATTAGTGTAATGACCATTTTAGAACTAAAAATAGCTCATCGACCAAATATAACAAGGCATTTATTTCAGTTTAGCTTTAATGTTGCCACGTTTCTCATTTTCTCCATCTCATTCTTCCCTTCCTTTCATGTCCAAATCTCCCGCATCCAAGTCAAAACACGAGTTTGTCCAGTGCTGAATTGGCCTCCTTCATCTAAAGTTTTTCCATTCCCCTTACTCTTAGTTCTCAGATCTGGGATTTTATTTTTCATTGGTCGTTATCCCACTCTGTTAAAGCACCGGACAACAAGCTACTCTTCTATTCAGATCTGGTGTTCTAATCGCTCCTGTGTTACACGGAAGACGAATGCAGGCGGACCTCTACCCGTTTGAATATGTCAACACTTAAGATAATTACGGGGTCAAGGTTGTTGCGCAGGAAACCCATCCAAAGGGTAAGTACCTGTGGATATGAAGTCATGTTCATTGCGTGTAAGCAGGATTTACCTTTTATCTCCCTCCTTGTATGAATCGGCCTAGTGTGCCGTACTGCTGAGTATACCTATGGAATGTCTTAGCTGAAAGTTTCATTGACCATGGTATTTTTTTGTATACTCCGCAGAATCTAGAGTTGTGGATTGGTGTCTTTTCCAACCAACTCACCTATTACGTCTGATCTTCCTTGTCATTTGTTCGGTTGTGGTCGCTTAAGGGATTTGGAATCCCTGTATGCAGATTGAAATAATTCTGAGTGCCTGTGTGTTTAAAATTTTTTTGATATCACATTTGTATACTGTTGTTTGGTTGTTGTGAATGTTGGTTGGTATAATGCTTCTGTTTTCATTCTATGTGTAAAGCAGGTTTGTGGTTATGTCTGAGGCTAACCTCAATTCAGAGACCGTAGGCATGTTTTCTTGACATCCTATACTTGTTCTTTAAGGTCTATGTCTGAAGGTTTTCTGTGTGATTCGCTCTGATATTTTGCTGGAACTGATGTTGCAGCTACTCCAACACTTTCAAAAACTATGCAATTCGAAGGCAGGCGTATGTTCCCTTTACTCCCATTACATTTTCAGGAAATCTATTGTTACTTTATGCATTGTTGTGACATTTTGATTTCACATTCTATTGTAGAAAACCCAACAACCACAAAATCTGAGCATTCAGCTGCCAAAGGTATGTCCTTTATCTGTGCAACATGCTACTTTCCGCAATCTAAACTGTGAAGTCAATAACGGCCTATTTGAGTTACAATAGTGGTTTGATTATCCGTTTGCTTTTATCTGATTCCATTGTTAGATGTACCCCAACTCTCATCATCTGTGGCCTCTGAGTCAACATCTGCAGCTACTCCAACACCTTCAAAAACTGTGCAATCCGAAGGCAGCCATATGTTCCCTTTACTCCCATTATATTTTCAGGAAATCTATTGTTACTTTATGCATTGTTGTGACATTGTGTTTGCACATTCTATTGTAAAAACCTAACAACCGCAAAATATGAGCATTCAGCTGCCAGAGGTATGTCCTTTACATGTGTTACATGTTACTTTCCGCAATCTAAACTGTGAAGTCAATAATGGCCTATATGAGTTACTATAGTGATTTGATTATCTATTTACTTTTATCTGATTCCATTGTTAGATATACCCCAACTCTCAACATCTGTGGGCTTTGAGTCAGCCGAGAACGACCTTAACACTTGTATTCACAACAGCGAAGAGGTACAGTCATTATACTTTTAATTGGTGGTTGTCCCCGTTATTATTTTTTCAGCCACTAGAACTCCTGCCTACCCATCTCTGGCCTAATCTATGTTTTCCCTTTCACTATGTAGTCGCCAAGGAAGCCAACAATGGATGACCATGATGACGATGGCGGAAAGGGTTCCTCCAATTTTGTGTGGACACCTGACTTTGAGACGGTTTTTGTACATATTATGGTTGCAAAAAAAAAAAAAAAAGAGAATGTAAGCAGCCGACTGCCAACTTTAGGCCTACTAGGTGGACCCAAATTGCAACTGAGTTTAGTAAGGCTGTCGGTAAAACTTTAGATGTTGAAAGACTGAAGCAGAAATATGATAGACTGAAGCGTGACTGGAAATTTGGGCTAAAATTAAAGCTACAACTGGTGTAGGCTGGAATGATGAACTGAAAGTTTTTGTTTACGACGATTGGGCATCATTGAATAGCGTACGTACAATCATCGTCTTTCTCTTTGCTTTGTATGATTGCGTAAAATGTGTACTTCCTTAAGCTATTTGTTGATGTTCACTACTGGTGATCCTGGCATAGGCTTGTTATTCTTCATCACCATAATGTTCATTATATTGAAATTTTTCTGTTTATTGTTAGTCGCTAGGTTCGTAACCAGACTTGAAACTTTTTTTTCCCTTTTTCCATTTCGATGTTGAAGTTTTTCCCTATTTGTGGTTCTACTATACTGATAATATTTGGGGACTGCTATGCTGAAAATAAATATTGATGCCTGTCTTTTTGTGCTTGTTCTCTTCCTATGCCTGAAATTCAGTGTAAAATGTCAAGTTCAACTGTCGAAACTTGATGTGCTTCCTGTAATAGCTGTTCTCATCCTGTAAAGCTATGATGTGCAGCTTGGCCTGCATTTTCTGTTAGTCACAGCAAAAAGGAACCTTCTGATGTTCAATATTCATCTCATTAACCCGTAACGTTCATTTTGTATTAAATAATGCACATCCTGTAACCTTGTGATGTTCATGTTACTCTGGGATATTGCTATGTCAAAGTATACAGTTTCTTCACCTCGTGATGTTCATTGGAATTTGGTCATGTTTTTTGTCGCCGTTTGGTAGCCTTATGCCTTACATTCCCTATACGCTATTTGTCGTAGTATGCAAGGTGTTTTGTAAGTTTACATTCAAAAGCACTAATCATATTCAAACTGGTATTTCCCAGAGAATTGTGGCCGCAATCAGATTCAGGGACAAGCCACTCTCACTCTATGATGCATTGACTGAGCTCTTTCATGCGCAAACAGCAAACATGTCACGTGGTGGCTCATCCTCTTGGAGACCAGGTGACGACGTCGCTGAAAATCCGATTGATGTCAGTCCTACAATAAACTCTCGCGGGAAAAGGCCTGTTGAAGGTGGCCCGTCACCAGTTGATTCTCGTGGTACAAATTAGAGTAAGGGAGACGAACCAAGTTTTCAGAGCGCATTGCAGTTGTATCATGACGTCCAAAAAGAGAATCAACTTAGGATGAGCAACAAGGTCGAGCCTGCAAGAGTCGCCATCGACACTCTTTACTCAATGGGACTTCCAAAACCAGATTTCTGGAAAGCAGTTGATGAGATAACGAAGCATAAGCACAAGGCATACATTTTCTTGGCATTGAGGCCTGAAGAGAAGTATGAGTGGGTTCAGTGGCTACCTTGAAACACTTTAATTGCCATGTATTGGTTGTAGGTTTTAGTTCCCATTTGCGTTTGTAACGCACTTTTATCATATTTGTGTACGGATTAATTTCCTGATTTGAGTACGTGAGCATTGTTTCATTGTAATTCAACAATTAACATTATGATTGATTTCCAAAATGTTGTTTGTAATTTAGTTGGGGAAGTATGTGTTAACTTTAGATTGTTTTGTTTTGACCAATGGATCATTACCCAAAACGTCGCACAAATGTGTCTAAGTTGACAAGCATGGAAAAAGGACCGTCTTCCACAAATTTTTTTAAAAAATGGAAACTTTACTGTTGCTATAGAACAATAACCACCCAAAGTCCACTAATTTCTTATCACCACCTTTGGACC